CCCCCCCCCCTGTAAACTTATACAGTAGGGTGGAAAATTATCTAACTAGCCAATAGCTTCCCCCCTAATAACTAATACAGAGGGGGGAAAGAATCAGACCATTGTAGCCCCCCCCCCATAAACTAATACAGTACAATAGAAGGAAAAATTAGCTAACTAGTCAAAGCTTCCCCCCTAATAACTCATACAGAGGATACAGAGGAGGAACGTATTGGCTAGTCAATAATATCTCCCATAAACAAACACTAGGAGAGGGGGGGGGGGAATCCCCAGGGAAAATCAGCTAGCCTAAATCTGTTTTCCCCCGGGGAAACTTTAAGACCAGGAAAGAAATGACTTCTACACAGGAATAGAGCATTTTCAACCAGTGAATTTGCTATCTATTCCTTTTTTCCAAGATCTGTTGGTTTCATGTGGAAGAACAGCTCCAAAGATGTCATTTAAAGTGTTATGTTTTCCCTAGGATGTAAATACACACATTTTATTTAGGCTTTTAGTTCTGAGCGTGAGAAATCTCCCCCATGGAAATTTCAGGAAAGTTGTCAAGTATGTGATTTCTGTCAGATTTACCTCCCCTGTTGCTGTCAGATTTACCTCCCCTTTTGCTGTCAGATTTACCTCCCCTGTTGCTGTCAGATTTACTTCCCCTGTTGCTGTCAGATTTACTTCCCCTGTTGCTGTCAGATTTACCTCCCCTGTTTCTGTCAGATTTACCTCCCCTGTTGCTGTCAGATTTACCTCCCCTGTTGCTGTCAAATTTACCTCCCCTGTTGCTGTCAGATTTACCTCCCCTTTTGCTGTCAGATTTACCTCCCCTGTTGCTGTGTACACCTGAAGTAATCCTCTGTTGAATGTGGTTTATTCATTGACAGGCGTGCAGAGAGTCTGTCTACAGTACTGATCGCAGTGAAGCTCTGGACTCGGGCGTAAATGTCCAGTACATAGTGTCAGCCAAGGTGTCCAAATATCGACGGATGAGAACAAAATTATCAACAAACACAAATTTTGACAGTTCTGATAATAAACCAGAACAGTCAGGTAAGGCCCAAAAAAACGTGTGTTTCAGGTATCCCGACCTACCATAGACTTTACAGGTATCCAACCTACATTTGTACCCTAGCTAGGGTAATGCCCCTAAAATGAGCGGTTCAGGTATCTCAATGCAACCTACCCTAGATTTCCCTGCCGACCCTGAAAATTTCACTACCTACTTGTATCTGAGATAAATTTATCACCTCAAGTTTGTTTATATTATTCTATCATATAATAGGACTTTTACCCTGTCACCACTATGTAACCTTAGTAGACTCTACCATGCATTGATATGGAGGAATCCATTATTGTCTACAGTGGTGAAACTTTTCATAATGGTAATATAGACAATGAAATCAGTTATTTATACAAAGTTTAAGCAGTTTATTGCAGGAGTATATTTCAAAACATTTCCAAAAATCCCAGAACAATTTACGATAAATGGTCGTGACCAAAGACTGGTTTTGGATTGTTCTTGTGTGTGCACCCCTTTCTTGACACTTTCATTTTCCCTTAAAAATGATCACGCTATGTACGAACATTTACGGTAGCCAGGCAAAGTTTACACTATGCACGAACGTTTACTGTAGCCAGGCAAAGTTTACACTATACACGAACGTTTACGGTAGCCAGGCAAAGTTTACACTATGCACGAATGTTTACAGTAGCCAGGCAAAGTTTACACTATGCACGAACATTTACGGTAGCCAGGCAAAGTTTACACTATACACAAACATTTACGGTAGCCAGGCAAAGTTTACACTATGCACAAACATTTACGGTAGCCAGGCAAAGTTTACACTATGCACGAACGTTTACTGTAGCCAGGCAAAATTTACACTTTACACGAACATTTACGGTAGCCAGGCAAAGTTTACACTATACACGAACATTTACGGTAGCCAGGTAAAGTTTACAGCCACTTGTACACTGTACTTTCTTTCTGTTCCTGTTCTTGACAAACTAATAACCATTGTAATGTGTGGTAAAGCATTGTAGAATTTGATAGAAAACATAACATCGATCCTTGAATTAATTTTTTAGTTCAAATGAAATTATATGCCTATCGACATATATACTCTTATTTTTTCCGGACTGTTACCTGAAACACACATATATTTTTTTTCCCCCTAAGCATCAATCAGATAAACATTGAAGACATCTGGTAAACATCTAAAACCATTCAGTCATGTAAACATAGTTACAAAACTGCCACATAAACTTGCAAACAAGTCAGAACATGTTTAATAATTTTTATTGCATTGATGTCTTAGATTATAGATGGTGGTACATTTAATGCTAGCTTTGTTTTGAACACAAACAGTTACTGGAAAATTGTTTTGCAACCTTTTCAAAACGTGTTTCCTTTGTCAAGCAAAGAGTACAAAGGATCAATATCTTGACTCTAAACCACTGAAAACTACAATAGCTTTAGGTATATACATGAACATATTATTATCCCATCGCAACGAAAGTTCCAGGGGATATAGGGTTCCGCCGATACGTACATATGTACGTATGTTACACTCTTTGTCAGTGCTCTAGCGACTTCATTCCTCAGTGGAATTTCTTGAAACTTCATACAAATGTTTGGTACAGCAATAACTTGAACAAGTTCACGTTTCAGGTTTCTGTGATCAAGGTCAAGGTCACTGTTATTATTTTTAGAAAAACTTTGTCATCGCTCTAGCGACTTTATTCCTCAATGTAATATCATGACACCTGATACAAGTCTTTGTTATGGCAATGCCTTGAACAATTTTTGTTTCAGATTTCTACATTGAAGGTCAAGGTCACTGTTACTATTTTTAGAAAAAACTTTGTCATCGCTCTAGCGACTTCATTTCCTCCTACAAATGTCACAATGTGTGAATGCGAGGGGATTTGTATCACTTGTGATGCCTTGTTTACATTATTTTGCTTCATAACAGAAGAAATTATAAACATTTATTCTATTCTGTTCTATTTTGTATCTAAAAGGTTACTACACCGAGTTAGACATAGAGAGTAAGTATGAGACGTTGAGCATCAACTGAATTATTTCAGATGTTCCGTTTGAAGCACTGGATGAAATCATTGGGACAGGTCCTGGAGGTAAGGACACTGAGGAAGAGGAGGAGGAGGAGGAGGACCAGTTTTCAGACGGCTATGACACAGCGACTACAGACAACGATTCTGGAGATGAGGACAGAGAGGTAAGATTATTATCTATCAGACAACGATTCTGAGGGAGAAGTTGAGGACAGAGAGGTAAGATTATTATCTATCAGACAAGGATTCTGAGGGAGAAGATGAGGACAGAGAGGTAAGATTATTATCTATTCTGAGGGAGAAGATGAGGACAGAGAGGTAAGATTATTATCTATCAGACAAAACTTATTAAGATGGTTAGGACAGTTTGGGGACAGTATATCATTACGCCAGACAAAAATATATGTTTCCTGTAAGATGTTGGAAAAATTTAGGGTAGGTAGGTAATAAGTTTTATTGTTACAGATTACTTCATGTGGTTTGTATAGGAGAGTGGTAACTTTAACATTGTTTCTATAAAAACACAAACAATCAGGGTAGGTAGGGTTACCAGAAACACCAGAATTGTTTTGTTTGGCCTTATAGGGCCCGACTTTGGAGATGTTGCTGCCCTATAGTAGTCATGGTGTCCTTCAATCCATCTGCACTCACTTTCGTTTCAGATCTGCACACACTTTCGTTTCAGATCTGCACACACTTTCGTTTCAGATCTGCACACACTTTCGTTTCAGGATATTTATTTATTGATTTCAATTTATTTATTGATTTTAATTCAACCGACCCAAGGGTCCAATTATAGAGTTGATAACAAAAGTATAATAAGATATTGTCTTGGAATTCAAAAAACAATTAAGATACAGACATTTGTAATAGTTTTTTTTTTAAAGTTCTGTTGTCAGGGTCACTGTTACTAAAAGTATTCCTTGGTGGGGGGGATCTCAGAATTTCAAAAGACTTTTTTTTTTAAATAACTTGTGATACATTGTCATATGTAGATATGCATTAGAGGTTTAAAAAGTTCTAAGCTCAAGGTCATTGTAACTAAGAATATAGCATGTTGAATGGTCCTTTATATCGGAATCTAAAAGATTATTCTTTTAGAAATTAAATTGTGATGCATTCTGATATGTTACCTGTAAGATATATGCAATTGTTCCAAGATTAAGGTCACTGTTACTTAAAAGTATACAATGGGTGGGGTAGGGGGGGACCTGGGATAATAAAGTATACAATGGGTGGGGTAGAGGGGGCTGGGATAATAAAGTATACAATGGGTGGGGTAGAGGGGTCTGGGATAATAAAGTATACAATGGGTGGGGTAGAGGGGTCTGGGATAATAAAGTATACAATGGGTGGGGTAGAGGGGTCTGGGATAATAAAGTATACAATGGGTGGGGTAGGAGGGGGGCTGGGATAATAAAGTATACAATTGGTGGGGTGGGGGGGCCTGGGATAATAAAGTATACAATGGGTGGGGTAGGGGGGCTGGGATAATAAAGTATACAATGGGTGGGGTATGGAGGGCTGGGAGAATAAAGTATACAATGGGTTGGGTAGGGGGAGGGGGCTGGGATAATAAAGTATACAATGGGTGGAGTAGGGGTGGGGCCTGGGATAATAAAGTATACAATGGGTTGGGTAGGGGGGGCTGGGATAATAAAGTATACAATGGTTGGGGTATGGAGGGCTGGGATAATAAAGTATACAATGGGTGGGGTAGGGGG